CCCCAAAACCCCAAAACCCCATAATTGTGGAATTTGAGAGTAATTGTGTTTAGTTAAATTTATTAGATTATTTAAATTAATTCAATTTGCAATTATGAAAAAGGCTTACGAGTACTTCTCTAATAAGCATCTTAAAAATCAGAATCAGCCAACTGATAGAAAACATCATGCAGGCAGTATCGATATCCATCAACTAAAAAATAAGGATAGTCAGCCAATGCCTAGCAAAAAAGAGATAAAAGAGCCTTCTGTTATCATGAGTTAACAAGTATCTGGACAAAGCTCTCTTAAAAACTCTAAAAATGCTAAACCAAGTACAAATAATTAGAATAGTCAGTACAGCTATTTACTGTAGGAGGCACAGAAGAATCACAATGCCAATCATGGTAAGGTGATAAATCTTCAATCCTAATAGTTAGATGGTGAAGAATTTGTGAAAATGAACAGAGTAAAATCTTATGGAAATTTATCAAGCAAAGCTAGTGCTTAGCAAAAGCTGCATTAATAATAGCTTCTAAATGGGCAAGTTCCCTCAAAGCAGATAATTGGGAATTACTTCCATATCAATCAAAATAATTCAACAAATATCAACTAGAACATAAGTGCATCAGTTATTAATCCTCATGATTTATACAAGCAGGAAAAACTCTCAAGAGAAGATGCCACAACGCTGCTTCTTCATTATTCAAGCAATTTACAAAATAAGAGTTTTGAGCCAGAGAGTATTATCAGCTCTTAGAGAGATAGCTCACCCAAATTTCTACAAATCAATCTTAAAATGTTCAATAACTATCTTACTAGCAATAATCCATAGAATATAAACACATCAAATTAGTTTTAACCGTCAGGTAATAGATTCAATGTCTTAGATTAGAAAATATATGAAGATGAAAATAATAACAGTATTTAGATGAATATTCAAAATCAGTAGTAGTAGATTACTCCTCAAATCATGTAATTGATCTAATAGCACCAATAAAGTATTAATGCCAAGAGTAGCAGTAAGGAAAGGCTTAGGAAAGCAAGAGATCCAATCAACAATAAAATCACATAAGATGACGATACTTTAAAAATGATATCTTAAGTTTCAAAAAAATCTATAGAAATATAGCAATAACTTGAAAAAAATAAAGTCAATTTGACTCTTGATTTTATTAATTAACTAAATAGCAACAGCAGCATTTAGGTAAAAAATAATCAAAAAGTTAGCACAAAAAACATCCACAAAATAAATTATGAAGACTCTGGGGCAACATTTCAAAACAATTTTTCTTAATCATCTCTAAATACTAATGTTTAAACTGCAAGCTAAACTATCCAGTAAAGTTCTGGAGAGAAGAAGAGACCTGCTTCTGAAATAGGTTCATCATTGTACAATAGATGTTAAAACAATATTTAGAACAATAAAAATTAATAAAAACTCAAACCACTCTATGTTGAAAAACCATTAAATGGATTTTCAAATATAACTCAGCAAAATTCAATGGCAAATCTTAACAGACTAGGTTCTTATAGTAGTTGCAGTTTGCTTCAAGTTGGAGCAAATGCAGTTAACTCATAGAGCATTATTCTTGATGATAGCAATATTTAAGACGAAGTGTCTCCAACTAAAAAAAATCATGTAACAGTCCTTGTTTCAATGCTTGACGAAAAGAATAAGTACATAAAGCAGCTGCATAAAAAGATAGATAAGCTAAATGATATCATTGCAAACTACTAACAAAATAATACAGTAAATTATCATGATAGTATAAAGAGAACTGCTTCTTATAATAAGAGTAGATTTAAATAATCAAGTAATTAAAAAGACCCTTATCAAAACTCTCCAAGTTTAAGTAAAAGCAGAAGTCAATAAAACATATAAAGAGCAAAGAGTTCATTATAAATATCAAATCAACCATCAAATAGTAGAATGAAGCAGAAATTGATTGTAAGTTAGATGAGATCTTAGGACAATAACCTTATGAATGTAAGTATTCATGAATTGAATGAAGTAAGTGTGAATTCTAATAAACTAGTGAAGCAAATGGATATAAATATTAATAAGGCACTTGAAAATCTTGAATCTATGAAACAATAAAACTTGATTATATTTAGAGAATTGTTTTTGAATGAGCCTAGTTCTACAGGAGATGATACTTCTGTTGAACTAAGTAGAGATGTATCTTAGAATCGTTTAGAAAGTTACTACTAATCGAATGCAATTGAAGAATGTAACTATATCTCAGTTGGAGGTAATGCTAATGCGAGCTAAGATGATAGTTATTAAGACTACCTTAATAATGCTGATCTAGATCCTTTGGAAGATGTAAAGAAGGAAATCAGTGAAGATAAGAAAAGGATAATTAAAAGCACTTCTAACTTTAAAACAAAGAAATCTGCTTCAAATTCGAAATGTGCTTCTGTAAGAGCTGGTTCTTAAAAGGCTACAGCTCGAGGAGCAGGTTCATAATCACAATTAAATAATCATTCAGTACCTCAAATCAATCCAGCATAGAGCACATAAAAGAATCAAAAGTAGTAAAATAATTCGTAACTTAAAGTATAAAGCAGCAACAACACAAATTTATAGTAGCATAATAGACCACCAACAAGTTCAGCAGTATAAACTAAGCCAAAGAAAATAGCTGTATCAAGTTTGAACATCGCCAAACAGAAAAAAATTCCTTAATAATCAATCAGCTCAGCATGCGATAACTATCAGCTGAATAGTAATTTCCAATCTATTACAACAATTAGAGAGATTGATAAAACTCCATAATCAAGCCAGAGTGTTAGTGTAAATAATCTACATCAGTAATAATTCTTAGTCGATTAGCTCAATCAGTATAAAGCTCAAGTCAAAGTGAAAGATAAAAAGCTTGATAAACACAAGGAATTTATAAATAAATTAAAGTAGCAACTAGAAAACGTGCTTGTAGAACATAAGAAACAAGCAGAGCAATTGGAGAGTTAAAAGAAGGAGCTTAGAGCTCTAAAGTGTAAGCTATCACTTCATTGAGGACTATAAATCTTTTTTATAAACTTTGAATGTTATTTATATATAATTAATCTGTAATCAATAAAATTTATTGCATATAGTTATCAGACGGGGTTTTGGGGTTTTGGGGTTTTGGGGTTTTGGGG